TTCAATGTGTGAGATCTTCAATCAGCCGAACAGCAGATGAGGGCGGAAGATTTGGAAATCTGGTGTGAAGAAGAAAAAGGACTGTTCGCTCGACTTCTCCTTTCAGATCTGGTAGTCCTGCTCTGATACCATGTTATGCAGGAGAGAAGAATGAAAGAAGAGAGAAAAGAGAGAGAAGAAGAGAGAACTGAGAGCTCAAAGATATTGGTGGCAGCGCAGCTTTTTAATATATATACTAGGGCGACAACAACTAAAATAGAAAAAGGAGCAAAAGTACAATAGTACCCCTGTGGTACTATACATAGGAGAAAATAACAGCTGTTAACAAGCTCATTATTTCATTTGAATTGGTTTACAAGTTGAAGATAAATTGGGGAAAAATTTATATAGTAGGCATTAACTTGGAAGATGAAAGTTTTAGAGTGCTAGTTGAGATTCTGGGGTTGAGGTTAAACAATGGCCATTGGAGTACTTAGGTCTACCGTTGGGAGGGAATCCAAGATCAGAAGTTTTTTGGACGCTAGTGGTGGAGAGGTTTGCAAGGAAGTTGGCTTTGTGGAAGAGGAACTATCTATCCATAGGTGGGAGCAATGTTCAAAGTATCGACACGTATCGGCCCGTATTGGCCAATACATATTGTGCCGATGGCTTCCCTATACGCCCCTCTAGGGGTTGTATTGGGTCAGACCATGGTTCAAAGGGTAGCTGAGACTTGAACGGACCCCTTTGAACCAGTTTTGAAAAAATAAATAAATAAAACATAAAAAAAGCACTGATACAGGCGTATCGGCCTGTGTCGATACTTTGAACCTTGGGTGGGAAAGTAATCCTGATTAGAGCAACTCTAGCAAACCTACTAGTCTACTTTCTGTCTACATTTAGAATTCCAACTAAAGTAGCAGAACAATTAGAAAAACTTATGAGGGATTTTCTCTGGGAACCTAGGGATGAGAAGAGGGATCACCTAGTAAAGTGTAGGGGTGAGCATTCAGTTTATTCGGTTAAAAACTGAACCAAATAAACTGAAATTTAAAAAAACGAATTAAAAAAGTAAAAACCGAACCGAAACCGAAATTTAGAAAAACCGAAATAACCGATACCGAAAATTTTGGTTATTTCGGTTAAAACCGAATTTTAATAATATATACTCTATTATATATATTATATGTTACATATTATATATTATATATTACATATAATAATGAAAAGTTCGGTTAATTCGGTTAACCGAAATTCTAATTCCAAAAACCGAAAAACCGAACTGATTTAACCAAAAACTGAAAAAGCCGAACCGAAAAAACCGAAACCAAAATTTTCGGTTCGGTTATTCGGTTTTAACCGAATAATGCTCACCCCTAGTAAAGTGGGAACAAGTCAGCAAAACAAAAGGAATAGGGAGGTCTAGGATTGGGGGACTTGGTTCATAGAAATACTTCTCTGTTAGGAAAGTGGCTTTGGAGGTTTCCGTAAAAAAGAGACAAGTTGTGGCACAAGGTTATAGAAAGCATTCACGGGCTGATGAACAAGGTTATTCCTCTTTACTAGAGCATCGAATAGGGATTTTAGATTGCTTATTTGCATTGGTGGTTAGTATCTTCTTGGGGGTGTTTCAATCAGAACAAGGTATAAGGTTTATTTGGTGAAGATGCCATTTAGTCTGGTAATTTTCTTGTTTCTCTCAAGTGACTTCTCCATTTGGTGTGAAATTCTAGATTTGTTGTCACCCTAGGCTGTTTCTTCAGCCTATATTTTTTGGTGAAGATTGAATTTGATTTGTTATGGTTTTGATTCCTTCTTCTGTTTGACATATCTATTTCCTTTCCTCTTTTGATTGTTGAGAAGTTTTCAGCAACTTTTAGCACTTCCACTGATTGTTTTCATTACTCTATTGTTTCCGATGGCTTCCAAATGAAGTAATGTGTTTCCTACTAAGTTTGATGGGACCAACTATGCCATATGGCAATTCCATTTTTAGTTTTATATTGAAGGAAAGGGTCTGGGTGGGGGGTATATTGATGGAACCACTTCCAACTAGATGAAAACAATGCAAAGGGACTGCTGTAGAGAGACTGGGCCGAATGGGCCCAAGTGATTTGTATTTTGCTATTATTGTTTCTTACTTGTGATTGGTTGATAATGGGCCCACTAATCCATTTTTTGTTTATTTTAAGTATCATTATGAGCTGGCTGCCCACTTAAGGGCAGAATTGTAACTATCTCTAATTAAGTGGGATTAATAAAAGTTTAGAGAGCAAGGAGAGAAGACATTGAACTTCTTTCTCCTTCCTTCTTCATCTTCTTCTTTCTTTTCCTGCTGTTCCTTTTCTATCTTCTCCTCTTTTCTTTGCTGAAAATTGAGATTATTTACAAGTTTATTGGACTGAATCACATCTTGGTATCAGAGCACCTATTCCTTTCTTTTCTTTTTTTCCTTTTTTCCCATACACCTTTCGATCAGAAGAGTGTATGGAGAGATGAGTTGCTGATTATTTAGAGAACATTTGCCCCTAGTTGGTAGAGGGTTTGGAGAGACAGAGTTTGGCTGTGGATTGCCAAGAAAGTGATTCTGCTGATTTATTGCCCAAAGCCCTAGCCGACTAGAGAGTCACAATTACAGGGTAAAGAAACAATTTGAGTGTGGCGCTCAGAGCTTGGGGGTCTCTTTTGATCTCTAGAAGTGGGAAGTTGAAGTTGGAAAGAGTTTGGGAAGCTCTATTAGTAGTGGTTACTCTTCTTCATTTTCTCCCATTTAGCCAGGTGTAGTGAAACCCTAATTGGGTGAGAAAGAACCATCCATTTCTCTCTCTGCTAGCCTTATGCTTCTTCTTCTTCTCCTTATTCTCTCTTCAATCTGGTCTGAGTTAGGGCCATTTCTCTCTATTTTTCTTCTATTTTCAGAAAATAGTAGGCTAATCATAACTAGAAAGAACATAATGGAAAATATAAAAAAGAAAAAAATATTTCAACAACCATAGCCACATTACAAGAAGATACAGATTTTGATTTTTAGTTGTCTTTCTTCACCAAAATAAAGTGATGCTTTCTTCCTTTTTCAAATTTTCCTCAATCCTGTCCTATATCACTTGACTTATAGTGAAGCATCTTTTACCCCTCTATTTGAAGGACAACTGGGATGGTAAAGTCCTGGATGACAGCATGATCTATTTATTCCTCCAACCCCGCATTAGTACATGATTATTTTGATGACTCGTTGAGAAATACTAAGTAATGATATTGTGAGTGTAAGGTAAAATATTAAGTAATGAAATTGTCAATTATGCTCTAACTTCTTGTGAGTGCAAGTTAGGTTTTATCCCCTCCTAAATGTCCAAAGAACAAACCAAAGGTAAGCATCACTAAATCCATGGTTTAATGTACTGATACGCCTCGATATGCTGGCAGGGGTGTATCAATACCTTTCACCCCATGCTTTTTCTTAGTTTCTTTTTCAAAATTTCAGTTTTACACATTTTTGTATTGTTTATTCAATACAAACATCGGTCTCCTGGAAACACCTTTAAATAGGTGTATCAGAATGATATGCCTGATAGGGAATATCGTATCAATACTTTGAACCTAGACTAAATCAATTTCACCGTTTATCTATGAAAACTTATGGTGCTGCCTCTGTGTATGGTCAATTTTGTTTTTCTAGGTTGACAATTGAAAGTGATAAAGGATGAGAAGTGGTTCTGCATTCACTAATTCCTCATTAATTATTCAATTTAAACAAGCATGAGATAACCACTAAATTAAAATGTACTTTTTAACATCCAAGAATTTGTTCCTGTTATGATATGGTGAATTTGCAGAGAAATCAGCACCTTGCCTTTTGTGTTACCTAGGCCTCTATATAGTGGCAAATTTTCCTTCTTTTTTTGTTTTGTTTATAATTTTGTTTGTTTTTTAGTGAGGAAACATCAGGTCAACTCTCATGCAAAGAAAGGGTGGGAGCCATTTACAGATGCTGTAATTCGAACAATCTCTGAGAAGAAAAGTGGAGTTGTTTTTCTTCTTTGGGGAAATTCTGCACAAGAGAAGTCAAAGTAAGTTCCTTATTAGCTTAGATGGGATTTGGAAAAGATAAGTTCATTCATTTATAAAGAAGGGGATATAATATTTTATATGAAGTTAGCATCTGAGCTCTATGTCAATTATTTGTATATTTTTCATGGCTGGTGTCCCAAAAACAAATGCTCTCTTATTTTCTGCAATTGAGATTTTCAAATCAGGGCCAAATCGATGCGTGGCACTTATTTAGCAAGCTCCAGACCTGCAAATTGGTCCCCTCCCCCTCCCCTGAGATTTCTTTATAATGGAAAGAACCATCAAATGATGGTGATGATAAAACTGTATTTGTTTTCTGTCAGTCTTTTGATTAGGATCTGATTGAACCTGTTTGGATGTTTCTACGTAGATATAGTCAGTTGACAACATCCTTTAATCCTTCTATGTTGTATCGGGGTTATAATCCTATCTATTTTGTAAGAATTTACTGGTTTTGGGTTCTACAGCTCCATGCTGGACATCATGCATTAATAAGTTTGAATTCTTGGTATTGTTTTGGCTTATGTCTTTGCTTACTAGAAAGGAATCATGTTATGCAGATTGATTGACCAGTCAAAGCATCATATTCTGAAAGCTGCTCATCCTTCTGGTTTGTCTGCAAACAGAGGTTTCTTTGGGTGCAGGTCAGTTTTATATGTAATTAACATAATTATTATTCTTCTGAAATGGATTTTTTTTATTGAAGTTTTGTTAGCCTCTGTTAAAGCCACTGCTTTGAAGGGGTGAGTCTCCTAATATTCAGAGAGAGAGAGAGAGAGAGAGAGAAGGAATAATGGAACTTGGATTCCCCTCTTCTCTTTATTACATGGCCTTTTATAGACTTTAATCAAGATTGGTAGTTACAATTTTCAGGTAATCTGTTTCAATTTATCAAATGACTTCTTTTCTTCTTTTTTGATGAATGGTAATAAATTTATTAATTCAGAAGCAGATTTAGAGTGAGTTCATACAACATCCCAGGGAGAGGCGCGAGCTGCAGCCCCTCCTTGAATCTTACAAGTAAACTAGGAAAGAAAAACAAGAATCACAATTGAGCCCAAAACAATTCTTCCCTATTTACCCCTTGCTTAGCTAACACATCTGACAAAATATTTGCTGATCTCCCCACCCACTGTACAGTGACCAACATTAGGGCTGTTCACGGGTTGGGTTGGGTCGGTTTACTGCGGTTTTTCCAACCGACCCGACTTGGTCGGGTTACCTGACATAGAAACCGAAACCRACCCAATGTTAAGCAAAACCGACCTGGTCGGTTTGAGTCGGGTTGGGTCGGTTTGGGTCGGTTTCGGTTCTAAGTTCATCCCTGTGATAAAATCTTGCTAATTTTAAAAACAGTCATAAATTAAACATCATTTCAGCCATCTCCTATGATTAAATTTAAATGAAAAGTTAATCACAAAAGTTGTTCATTAATCACTATTCACTAATCCAAAGTTTCTTGCAACCACTCAAAAACTAAGTGGCCTAATGGGCTTTGGAACTTCATGTTTTAACTAGGAACTAAGTCGGTTCAGTTCGGATCGATTTTGGTTTTCTTGTGTGAAAACCGAAACTGACCCGAATCATCGGTTTAAGAATTTGCACAACCCGAAACCGACCCGTGCTGATGAAAACCCGGTCGACTCAGGTTGGGTCGGTTCGGGTTGGTCGGTTTGGTCGGGTTGGGCCTTCTTATGAACAGCCCTAACCAACATATTCCTTGTCAACCAATTAAACTTCTTCATTTCATTCTTGTAATGCCACAGCCTCTTCAGGATTTTTCAACCAACCCACCACCACTTTGGAATCCCCCTCGATTGTTAGGTGTTGTACCCCCAACTGGTTTGCAAATTGCACCC